GGGGCGGGGAGAGGGGGGAGGGGGCGGCGCAGGATGCAGCGCCTCGGGGTCCTGCGGGGATTGCAACCTGAAACTGCAACTGCAGAGCCCAAGGCTCAGCCGGACCCGGCTCAGCAGAGAACCTTCCAGGCCACGGTGCACAGCCACCTTCTCCCGGGGCGGGTTAAGGAACGAGCAGGCCTGGTCTGCTTTCTGGGAATCAGCGAACACCCACTTGTAAGGTGGTGGTCCCGTCAACCCTGCGCTGTTGTCATCATCATAGGCCACAAAGATGATCGATGACTGAGCATCGCCTAAGACAGCGCTAATCACCACTTCAGTCATCTCATCAATACTCCCTTCGTGGAGAGGTAGCTTGGAATAGGGGACCGAGTTCTGAAGACCAGCATTGGGACGCCGACACTAAGTCCTTGCGTCCCCGCTTCTTCGGCTCAGGATCTCCAGCTGTTCGTGTTCTCTGCCCTGTAAACATAACCAAAAATATCACTTATTAATACGATTTATTTAGGGCAGTGGTTCTCAACCTTGGCTGCACATTAGAATCACCAAGATATATTCAGAAGAAAGACCTAAAAGGGCTTGCTGATGAACTGGATTCCAAAGACCTTCAAATCACCTTTCTTTGTTATGGGGTGAGGCTGCTGTTGTTCGTGTTCTCTGCCCTGTAAACATAACCAAAAATATCACTTATTAATACGATTTATTTAGGGCAGTGGTTCTCAACCTTGGCTGCACATTAGAATCACCAAGATATATTCAGAAGAAAGACCTAAAAGGGCTTGCTGATGAACTGGATTCCAAAGACCTTCAAATCACCTTTCTTTGTTATGGGGTGAGGCCACAACATTAGTAACAAAGAAACAGAATTTCCGGAGGATGAGGCCCAGAAATCAGGATTTTGAAAAGATTGCCAGGTGATTCTAATGTGCAGCCAAGGTTGAGAACCACTGCTTTAGGGCCTACTGTATGCCAGGTTCTATTCTGGTGCTGGGGACCCAGTTCCCAACAAACAAAATCCAGCTTTCACAGGACTTACTAAAAAAAAGGAAATTTATTTTGAGATAATTATAGTTCCACATGCTTACTAAGACATAATTCATAATACATACAATCCTATATAATACAATAATGCACATAAATACAAAATAATCCCATGAACCTCACCCAGGTTCCCCAGACTTGAATTTTAATGAGAAGATGTGAGTAATTGACAAATAAATAAAAAAGTGAACAAGATCATTTCGGATAATAAGAGCCATGAAGAAGCTAAAACAGGGAGAGAGGGTAGGAGAAGGATAAGAAGGTCAGAGAAGACTTTTTGGATGAGGTGATATTCGAGCAGTGCCATGAATAATGAAAAGGAGAAAGCCATTCCAAGATTTAGGGACAAAGCTTGCTAAGCACTGGGTACAGGGAGTGAGGCAAGAACAAAAAACAGAAAGAAGGGGTGTGGAGATGGAGCAGGGGGGGCCAGGGGTGTGGAGTTGGAGCAGGGGGGACCAGGGGTGTGGAGTTGGAGCAGGGGGACCAGGGGTGTAGATGGGATGAGAAGAGGTAGGAACCAGGCCTGATCATATCCAGTTTTACAGGTCTGGACCGAGAGTTTGGGCTTTATTCCAGGTGCCATGATTTGATTCAGTCAGACTGCTATGTGGTGTCAAAAAGATGGGAACAAAATAGGGAAGCGGAGAAGCCAGTGAGGAGGCCACTGAATTAGTCCAAGTGAAGATGATCAAGGCCCGAACCTGCAGGTTAACCGGGTAGAAGAGGAGAAATGGACCGGTTTGGAATATATTCAGGAGGAAGACCTAAAAGGGCTTGCTGATGAACTGGATTCCAAAGACCTTCAGCTCAAATGCCCAACAGCTTACTGACACAGCCACCTGGTTGCTTTAGGCGTCTTCAGCTCAGCATGTGTAATAACAAACTCATTATGGTGGCCTCCCACCTGTCCCACCTCCAGCTGTTCTCTCTCTTAGCAAGTGGCACTACAAGCCAGCCGGGAGCTCAGCACAGACACCTGGAAGCCATCCTTGATTTCTTCCTCTTCCGCATTCACACTGAATCAATCACAGTCACAGTCAGCATTCTGGCCTCAATATATGTCTCAGAGGTTTCTTATTCAGTAGTTGTTGAATTGTTTTATTTTTCTCTGTTCCCCTGGCCAGTTACCACTTACTTTAAATCACAGCATGCTCTGGTGTGACCTGTTGCAGTAGTTCCTATTCCTTCCACCCGCATTCACTGTGGCCACACTGCAAGTAAAGTGACCCTTTTAAACGCAAATATCTTGTTACTCCTTGCTCAAAACCCTTAAATGCAGTGGTTTTCAACCTTGGCTGCACATTAGAATCACCTGGGAATCTTTTTAAAATCCTGATTTCTGGGCCTCATCCTCTGGAAATTCTGTTTCTTTGTTAATAATGTTGTGGCCCTACCCCATAACAAAGAAACAGAATTTCCAGAGGATGAGGCCCAGAAATCAGGATTTTAAAAAGATTCCCAGGTGATTCTAATGTGCAGCCAAGGTTGAGAACCACTGCAATAACCCATTTCTCTCCTGTCCCTTTAGACCTGATAAAAAGATTCAGGTGATTCTAATGTGCAGCCACGGTTGAGAACCACTGCCTTAGGATTAAATTCTTACTCTGATTTACAAAGCCCTGCAGATTTTACTCTTTCAACAACAGCAATCCCTCTCTCCTTTATTCTGCACGGTTCTGAACTTCTCTACTTCTTTCACTTCTTTGAGTGCACTGAGTTCTTTCTGTTTTCAGGGCCTTTGTACCTGCTTTTATTTTTTTTGCTTTGCTTGACACCCATCGCTCTCAACTACTTTCAACTCAAACTTCAGGTCTTAGTCTGATGACTTTCTTTCTTTCTTTCTTCCTTTCTTTTTTAAACATATCTTTATTGATTTTAGAGAGGAAGGAAGAGGGAGACTTTATTGAGTTTAGAGAGGAAGGAAGAGGGAGAGAGATAGAAATCTTGATCAGCTGCCTCCTGGGGATGGAGCCGCAACCTGGGCTTGTGCCCGACCAGAATTGAACCTGGGACCCTTCAGTCCGAAGGCCAACACTCTATCCACTGAGCCAAACCAGTTTGGTGACATTCTATACCACATCCACTTCTCATACTACCTCCTCAATTCTTTCCTAGTCTGCTCTATTTGCCTTCCAATTGATTCTGCTTGTGGCTACTCCAAAAGTTAGAGAGAATGTATATAAAGTACTTGGCATGTAGGATGCAATACATATACTTATATATGTAACTCAATACTAATCTTACAAGGTAGATATTATTGTTCCCATTTTATAGGCTCAGAAAATTTAACTCAGCAAAAGGTCACATAGCCAATAACTGGCAGAATCATGTTTTAATTCTAAATCTTTTATTTTAAAATCTATGTGCTTTTCACTAAGGCACTTGTAACGAAATGAAAAGTGCTAAGAATCTTGGGAAAAATAAACAAATTTTTAAAAAATAGTTCAGGAAAATGGGATCTGGGAGGATAGATAAAAATTAAACATCTGATATTATTTATAAGGCTCTTAATAAACTTATAAAGCTGGCAACAATGATGAAGATGATGATTATGGTGTCAGCCAGAGAATAAATTCACAGTCCAGACCGTGGGCCCTGAAGGGCATTAAGAACTACAGCTTAGTATAAATCAACATCTCTAGCATCAAGAAGGCTCATGCATCTCTCAGTAAGCCAAGGGAGAGCACAACTGCCAGGAAAATGCACACTTTACTTACTTCCCTGAACAGAGTGATGGAAGGAAATGAATTTACAATTTCAATTTGTGCCGAGCTGGCACGGCCATGGCATACTCAGTCCCTGTTCGGGCGCCATATGTGCCGAGCCAGCTCAGCCAGGTTCAGTGAGCCTGAGAGGGGGCAGTGAAGGATTGAGAAAAGACAGACAAGAGAAGGAAGCTGGGTCTGAAGTTTATTTTTAGTACCCCAAACTCAGAGAAAACCTAAATGTCCATAGGGAAATACTTCCTTAAAGTGTAGTAACCTTACTCAACAAACAGATAAAACATCATTTAAAAAACGTGCAGCTTGCCATTTTTAGGCCCATTTGTAGTATTTCATTTTAAAGATGCACATAGGTGACATGACATATGGGTATTTATTATAGTGCTTGAGGCCTGATGCATGAAATTCATGCAAGGGCCTTGGCCCTGGCCCCGCCCACTGCCACTGCCTCTGGATTTGAACCCAGGATCCTTCAGTCCGCAGGCCCATGCTCTATCCACTGAGTCAAACTGGCTAGGGCCATACAGTGGGGGCCTTGACTTATGAGTTTAATTCGTTCTGAGACCGAGCTCGTTAAGGAGCTCATTAAGGAGCTCGTTAACTCAAATTACTCTATCAACTCAATGCAAAAAATCGGCGGAGAGACAGCTGGTATCTCAAAAAACTCATTTGTCGGGACACTCGTAAGTCAAGGCCCCACTGTAGTGTGTACTTTTTACCCCTAATTGCCAACCCCTGGTGTGATCTGCGGCTTTTCTGGTGTCTGTCCTTCCTAAACATAGGTGATACACACTTCCTTTTTTGCCTTCTAGCTATGCAGCTTCTTACCTATACTTCCTTTTATCTTGATTAATTTATTCAAAGTTAAGTTCTTACAACCAAATCACTGACATATTTATCCTTTATTCTCAAGGCCTTTCATAGCCTGGCAGGAAAGATGGACAGAAAAATAGCATTACATTTATAGTTCAATATGAGAAAGAATGATACTCTCTTAGCCCAGGGGTAATGTAAAGAAAGGGAAGGGAGCCCTAGCTGGCTTGGCTCAGTGGATAGAGCGCTGACCACTGAGGGGTTGCGGGTTTGATTCCAGTCAAGGGCATATGCCTGGGTTGTGGGCTCCGTCCCCAGTGTGGGGCGTGCAGGAGGCAGCCGATCAGTGATTCTCTCTCACCATTGATGTTTCTATCTCTCCTTCTCTCTCCCTCTCCCTTCCTCTCTGAAATCAATAAAAATGTATTTTAAAGGAAAAAAAAAAGAAAAGGAAAGAAAGGGAAGGGAAAGAAAGAACATTCCAGAGAGAGGGAAACTGGAATGAAAGAAAGGTGGAACATTCCAGGTGAGTGCAGATAAGGAGGGAAGAAGTAGCACGCTCTGCTAGGAGAGTCTAAAGTCCTTGTTTCAGAATTTTAAGCACACAGAGGGTAGTGAGGAGAGAAAGAAACTGGAGACCTAGGCAGAGGGAAGGTCACAGAAGCTACATTTGACAGGTGAAATATTTTCAACTTGCTTCTGTGGCTTTGTGGGTGAGAAGTGATCAACCAAAGAACTTGTATG